TTCATCCTGGGAGGAACACGTTGGGTACCAGGGTGATGTCTTGGCAGTCAAACCAATTGCATAAGAAACAAAGCCAAATTCCTCCAGGGACTTTGGGAAGCCTCTTGGGGGAGAAGTCCTGTCTCACCCCAGAATTCTCCAGAATGCCTAGCTAACCCCACAGGGTGGAATCTCCAAGGCTGATGGGATGTGGCTGGCTCTTAGCATGGGGGTGAGGTGATTTTTTAGTGTCCTTACCATCTGACTCTCAGGGAGAGAGTTGAGGCTGGAAGCTACCTTTCTGCCTGGGTTTTTTCATTGTGACAGCTTCAAAGGTGGCTGGCACTGACATCCAGCCTGAGTGCCCCATCGTCGGAAACCTTCCCCGCTTTGTTACATCTGCTGGGCCTTCCTGGAAAGAACTGAATTAGATAGAGGATGGGGGAAGGGGAGGAGGCGGCTGGGGTGGGGGATGGAAGAAGGCTGGATGGAGCAAGAATATATTTTCTATGTCTGGATAAGGGAACGGGATTCTAGGTAATTGCCTGGTTTTCTCATTGTTCTCGGCTGCCATGCTGAGATTCATGGAGGGGCTGAAAGGATCTTTTTTTTTTCTTTTCCCTCTAATTCTTCACTCCCCACACACACCCTCCAAATCACCCCTCCCCCGCTTAATCCTTTTCCCTCCCCTCTCTCCCCAAGCTTTTTTTTCCATCCAAAGGGGGGGGGTAGTAATTTGTCTGTTTTATTTATGATGCAATGAAGGTATGCTGCTCTGTCAGGGTAGTCTGACACTGGTCAACCTGTCTGACAGCCTGAGCAACTGCCTTCATACTCCGATGAGTGGATAGTTTAACTCTTTGTATGCTGAGACATACTTACCGGTTTTGATGAGAACCACTGCACTCCCCTTTAAAAAAAAAAAAACAAAAAAAACTATTCTGTTACATTCCGATTAAAACTGAAGCAGGAAGTGCGTGTGTAACCTTTTGTCCCTTATCTGTACCCTGAAATACACAGGGAGGCCAAATATCACTGAACAAAATTCAAACCTGAGGGTTTGGTGGCAGACGCATCTCTGAGGACAATCTCAGGACATCTCTCTTTTTAGCAGCTTAGACCCATCTTGACTCAGGTTCCCAATCAGAATGTCCCGTTTAGCTATCCAAACCATAAAGTGGGGGGAGCATCAGTGAAATGGAAATGTCTGGCTGCCTCTCCCTCTGAATCAGAAACACAGAAAGCACAGGTCAAACAGCTCCAGTCCTCCCGTTACAAGCAAGGTTGCAGAGGGCAGATAGATACCTCTGTAAACCACCCATGCAGTGATCTTTATCCTAGGATGAGCCCAAGGAGCTCCCTAGGTGATAGTCCACCTCCCAAGTCTACATCAGTGTCGCTGGGACCATATGCAAATGGGGGCTTCTAAGAAATAATTTAACCGCAGCAAAGTGAATGGCCAAGAGGGCATGTCACTGCATTTATCCCGGTCCAACTCCCCTTGTGCGGCGTGAGCTGGCTCCCTAGAATCCACTAGCCAAACGCATTTCAGCTTGCACTTGGAAGTGTGTGCTCTCTCCTCGCTCTCCACCATAAACCCCCAGTTCCAGGGGGCCTGCCTCACATCCCCCTTCTCTCTCTCTGTGTTCCCCGTTGCTTTGCCACCAGCAATTTCATCCTCCTTTTCTGACATTAAAGGACACACTGGGTTTTAACAATTATACTTTTGATTTCCTCATAAAAAACAATGCTCCGAATTAGGCCCCAGATAACCTTTTCTTGTCCTGTAATGGCCTGTGGGGCAACACTGTAGAAGAACCAATGGAGGTTTCTGCTGGATGAAAATATTTTTATTTTTAATAGCCGGCAAAAGGAAAAAAAAAAAAAAGCTAGGCAAAAATACTCACAACAGGTTCAGAAATGTAATGTAATGCACACAGCAGGGGCAGACACAAAGACCCAGCAGACAGAGAGTGTGATGAATGGTCCTAACCACCTCGGATTTATTTATATTTTTTTAAATATGCATTTGCCTTTCATCTGAAAATGAAAGGAATGGAAGAAAGTGAGAAAGCGTTCCAAGAAATGTCTTTGGTGTAATAAGAATGAATGCAATATTATAAACTCAAGAGGAATTGGGAGTCTGTCAACAACAGAGATCCAGAGTGGCTGGAAAATCCAGGTTCCCGTTGTGGATTGATTTGCACTGGTCTGTGGAAGGTGGCAAGGAAAGCCCAGCATAAAGCCACCATGAGACAGAGCTGGGCACCGCAGCGCCGGGCCCTTCTGCTTTCCCAATCAAATAGAAAAATTCATGCACATACATTTTTTTTTTGAGAGGAGCAATGGAAAAAAAATCTTCTAGTGTTCTTTTTTGTAATTTAATCTAGTCTTAAAATTCTAAGAAAACTCTGTTTAAAAGTTAAGGCTTTAAAAATCACTATAGAATGTGTACACATATGAGTTGAAATGTTATTTTTAAAATTTCAAGCCTTACAAAAGTTGCCCATCCCTCTACTGTGTCCAAAGTATCAGGAAAAATAAAGCAACGTGTTTGTAGCACACATCTTATGCTCTGTAGACACTGCAAGTTTGTATATTTCAGCAAGGGTACTAACTCACAAAGAGCTGACATGGTATACTTCACTAACCATGGAAGAAACGAGACATTGTTTAGTACAAAAGACTCCTAGTTTTATATATGCATATGTATACACAAACACATGTCTACCCGTATATCTAGAGAGAGTACATGTTGTCCTCAGTTATATCAATATTAATGATACCAACTGCCCATGGATTTTATAGGTTGAAAAACCTTCCTTTAAAAAAAAAAAGCAAAAACAACCTTTCTGTCCAATTTCTACCTCTTCAGATATCTGAGGCCTTCAAAACCCTGTGCACATTTGTTCTCATGTTTAATGTTTAATATTTGAGGAGTTTTAATCAGTGTCCATTTAAAATAAAAGGACAGGCACAAGTCCAATTGAGATGTGTTTAGATGAAGGGTCAAAAGCTATACCCACTGTTACTGACAGCATAGGGGAATACCCCTGAAAAGGAATATAAGCAAATATTTTATGCTTATTCTGAAATTCTAGAAAAGTATTATATGTAGCCTCCCAATATTGACTATGATAGGACAGTGTCAATATAATACAGAATAGGGGGGTTGCTCATTATCAACTCACTAAAAAAAAATTCTTTAGCTCTCAAAGATAAGTCACGTTGATATATAGGACCATCTCATCCTATACTTCTTGAGCAGAAGAATTATGTGTTGACCTGGACAACAAGGAGCAAATGATGTCAACATAAAACAGAACAGGCTATTGGACCCTAATCTACTTGCTATGGTGAACATCCCTCCAAACAGTTGGCCCTAACAGCCATGATTGCATGGAGAATATCAGTACAGCACAGAATGGATCATTTGGTCAAAATGAACACACCAACAGGAATATGGGTGGCAGCCAAATACGCATCTGGGCCACCTGCACTTCCGCAATCTCTCTGGGCTTTAAGTTTTGAAAGGTTGATCATTTATCTTTTCAAAAGAGTTTCCCAACGGCTAACAAGACCGATCACGTCACTCTATGTAACCTGATTAAACTTCACATAGGGAAGACCAGACTGGTCTAAGCCTCCCTCCCTGACACAGTCATTTTTCTGCCATTTTGCGGCTGCTGCTAGCACCACCTGGCTCGGGTGCAGCTGTCATAAATCGCAGGTAACACAGCTGCACGATTTAAGAGAGTCAGCTCCAAAAATATAAGTTAAAAAAAAAATTTTAAATCACTTCCAGGTCTTCCTCTTCACTGAAAGACAATACATCTTTGTGCTCACTTCATCGTTCTGTGTGATAACACCTGGGCAGAGACGGGCAGTGAGGGGTAAATAAATAAATGACTCTTTGCAAAATCATCCGGACATTACACGCACACGACATTTTTTAAATCACGTTTTTGAGCTGCTTTAGAAAAGAGTCTGGGGAAACTCTTGCAAGTTCATCGGCGGGCAGAAGAGAAATTCTTGGAGCCATTTCCAAACTTGCATTCGAGACGTAAAATACCAGTGTGAGCTGCAGATTCCTGTGATGTCCCCAGGGCATCAGTTTCTGCTCTTTTTCCTCATACGAGTGATTGTGTGCATAAGGGGCATTTTAATATTTCTCTTTTATGTTTTTCAATTTTTGTAAAAAAAAAATCCTGTAATAATTTGGAGGGGGCATCATGAACATCTGTACCCAGATTGTGGTTGATTCTGCCCACTGAAGCTGAGGGACTGAAATGATCATGTGTAACATCATTCTTCAGTCCTCCCAGCATTGGCCTTGGTGTGTCTAACTTCTCATGGTCAGCACAATGGACCTCTCCGTTTGGAGTGCAGGAGGAGCAGATTGAACCGTTGGAGGATTCTGCTGGAATGTATTTATCCCGGCATCAGTTAGGTGTGTCTGAGCACTCTGCCTGGGATGGTTCCCGTGCTTCTGTGGACTACCTGCCTCTCTTTAATCCATCCCTCTCTCAGCCAGAGTCACACATCAAACGGGAGAGAAATATGACCAGAAGAAAGACCTATTTTCTCACACTTTCCAGATGAAATATCTGCAGGCTCTGAGAGAAACTCTTTAAAGGGAATTAATTTCTGTATTTAAAAACATAACGGCTCATGGTGTTTTACTTTAGTCGCACTGGTGGGGCAATTTGTAGGCTCTCAAGTTCTTATTATAAATGTATTTTTAATCTACAGCCCAGCCTGATGGGTCTCTTGCTCTCCTAACTGCCATTGCCCCTTCCATTTGAGACCTTATTTGTTATCTCTCGCTCAATGCTTATTCAAAAATGCATTCAATCTCTTTTTAAAAAATGGTCAGCAAGACAATGCACAAAAGAACGACAGGAAAACACACACCGGAGCTATGCACAATCTATAATTTTCCAATGTAGGACATGTTTTCTTTTTTTTTCTTTTTTTTTTTCCTCCTCCTATTGCCTCATCCAAAGGAGAAAAAGGAATTATTTACATTCACAGCTTTAAAAATAATGATAATGCTTGTCCTCCACACTCACTGCGCTGGGCACCAGGGTTTGTTTTGTGGAGGCAGGCTGCCCTCTGCAGGGAAGAGAGGTTTTGAACCGCATCTTTCAGGCAGTCAACAAAACAAGGCAGCTGGAGTGCTAACCATAAACAAATAGTTTCTCAAATATGTTTGCTTGTAAGCAATTAAACTGCACTTACTCACCCTCCGAGAGACGCGTCCACATTCTCTGTTTTTATACTGGCTTATCCCAGACCAGTTCTGGTTGCACAAGAAACTAAGACAGAGGAAACTTCTTAGTGGATGTTGGTGCAAGGTACACGGTGCTATTAAAAAGAACACAATGGTTCGGACTTATTTCTTCCCCCCAAATCAGAGCAAGCAAAGAAGAAAGCAAATGACTAAGCCCAGGCAGTCATTCAAAACCTTGTGAGTCGTATACAGTGAAAGCTGGGATTTTACACCCAGTCTCTCTAGGTATTTTCTCTGGTTCTGAACTGGGGTTCAGGTTGGGGGGATTGCAGGAACAGTTAAGGCATCTTTAGATGCCTAGAAAAGCAGATTGCTTCAAGGTTTTAGATTGTGGGGTGAACCGATACTGACCACCTCACTGTATTTCTTTTTTAAGAAATGAAGATACGAATTGAGACATTCTAAGAATTGGATCCTAATAACTTCATATATTGGGATGGGAATTGGTGATGGGACTGGTGTCTCTGTTTCTCCAGGCTTCCACACTATCTTAGCTCTGCCTGTCTTGTGCCAAATACCCTTTTCATCCATGAAAAAGGCAGGGATACCTTGGCTTCTTTTGTTTTGGGAATGTTTTTTTAAGGTTGTCATGCAGTGGGTTCTGTAAATAGGAAGTGCTTGAAAAGATGCCCCAATTTAGTGGCATTTTCCATCGCCTCACGTCTTTCTAGGTGATTCCTTACACTTCAACAGACACTACTGACTTGGGCTTTCATTGTTGTGCTTTCTGCTGGAGCTTCCGGCAAACCCACAAGAGCTGACTTCCTCCTCCAGTCTCTAAATGCGACCAGCAGGGGGGCCGATGGAGTGCTCATTTTTTACATCAGTCTTATAAATTGCTTTCCCCATTAATTGTATCCATGGAAACAATACATTTGGCTGGGAAGGGACTCCTGAATAAAATTTAATGGGATTCTCAAAAAAGAAGAAAGGAAGAAAGAAAGAAAGAAAGAAAGAAAGAAAGAAAGAAAGAAAGAAAGAAAGAAAGAAAGAAAGAAAGAAAGAAAGAAAGAAAGAAAGAATTTGTGCAAGCTGGGAGATGTTCCAGCAGGCCACACTAGTCCCCTAGGCCCCTGCAGGATTCATTTCTTGTCTTCAAAAACTATTTTGAACTGAATTCAAATTCAAGTGAATGAGAAAAATAAAATAAACAACAACAAGAGAGAAAGAGAAAAAAAGGCACCAACTTCTTTCACCCCTTGAGAAAGAATAATGAAGGGAGGAGTGGTAGAATTCACACAGCAATCCTGAACAGAAGAAAAAGAAATTCCGAACATTGCCCAAGAAAGGACTGTCAGGACTGGCACTCAGAGGATCATTCAGAGCCAAACCTTGATAGCATAAGCGTGGTTAGTTCAGGACAACACCCTGGGTCTCCAAAGCAATATTCAGGTGCTGAATTAAGTCTTTAACCACGCCAAGCTCACACCGATGCTCCACACCATCCCAGATGGACATCCTCAGCGGCCACTAACATCCCTGGATCTGGCTTTCTTCATTCTCACCTCTCCCTCGGGGTGATGTTGAGGTGTCCTTGAGGTGATTTTGGTTTTGTGGGGTTTTTTGTTTGTTTGTTTGTTTGTTTGTTTGTTTGTTGTGGGTTTTGTTTGGTTTTTCCTTAGCAGGAAAGGATTATAAGATCTTAAGGCAGACCTGCATACACCATACTTAATTTGGGAAATGTGTGAGTAAATACCACTTGTTACGGCATTATTTGCTGTAAACTGACCACTGTGAAAAACTGGTTAGTTTTTTTTTAAGGGGTACCATCTCTTTACAATAAAAAAATAAATAAAAATTAAAAAATCCATTCAAACCCCTTGGATGCTTCTCTTAAAGGTAGATGGATGTGATGTAAATAAAGAAAGATGTGACTTTAAATCTAATAATAATGCATGAATTTCAAATTATCCATGATGGTTTTCCCTAAGCCTCAAATCATTTCTGCCTCTGGGTAAATAGCTTAAATTCTTTAAATATATAAAAATTCAGTTTTAACATTTCCTTTTATATAAATTATCCTCTCCCTGAAATGAAAAAATGTTTCTGTTCCATCAAGACTTCCCACTCACGTTACCTCTAAAAAGCCGTGTGAATGCAAAATTCAGAGGAGAAACTGGGACTGTATACCTATCAGCCAGTGAGAAAGCAATGGATGTCCAAAGCTCAACCCAGAGCCTCCCACATGCTAAGCATAGTCGCTACTCATCGCTCACTGAGCTAGAGGTCCATCCACGGCTGCTGGTTCTTGGTTGTACCTCTAGCCAGATGCAAATGAAACAGGTAAATCCAGTGAGAACCAGATAGATGGCCGAATCCTGTAGGAACTTAGACTAAAAAGAGTCGCAAAAGGAGCCTCGGAAACGATTGTACTTTTGACCTAGTACTTTTTTTATTTGCTTGAAGAATTTATCTTCCCCAGGTAAATCTTTGCAGGGTTGACATAAGCAGAAATGTCCCAGCACATGCAAATACATCACTCGAAAGAACAGATTCAACATTGGATGTCGAGCAATATACGGTGCATTTTAGAACAGTATTTTCATAAGATGAAGTAGTTGAAAAAAACAATTAAAATTAAATTCATGTAAATTTTTAATGATATGGAGAAATATAATTTGTTACAAAAAGCAAGGTTTGGAGGTCATTTATTTAAGTAATTTAAGTAGCCACCATGGTTATGGATCCATATATGTAGAATTAGCTAACTGTTGTTGCAACTATTCAGAAAAAGGTTAAGGATGTAGCTGAATAGTACAGTGCTTGACAGGGATGTAGCTGGGTGGTACAGTGCTTGACAG